TATATATATATATAGATATATATATATATATAGAGTTAAAAAAATGTATTGCGAAAGTTACGAAAAAGAGAAAAAAAGAGAAATAAAGCTAGTGATGTAAGATAAGAAAAGAAAATAAGACCGAAAGTAAATAGATGTAAAGAGAAATATCAAATTGTCAAGGGTTGCAAAAATTAATTAAATAAAAAATAGTAATAAAGTAATAGTAATAAATAAATAAGGATAAGTAAAGATAAACGACTAAATAAATATTAAATAAAAAGCATAAAGAAATATTGTTTGTATGGTGATATCTGTTAGATTTTAATTTGTCAAGTAATTATGAAGTAAATACAAATAGATAAATACAATTATTTGTATCAATCTATCTATTTATGTATTTCTCTATAATATGTAGATATGTAGATATATAGACAAGTATTTTTAGATGTCAATATACAAACTTTATTGTGACTTCTATATTTATATTTCAAACATTTTATTTAAACTGTTATATCAGATCTATCAGAGAGAAAACCGTTAAAAAAATAAATTAGTTTATATAATAATAAATTAATTTTTAATACATCAATTGTTAATCATCTTAAAAATTAAAGTTTCAGAATTCAAAATTTAATAATCAATAATCGATTATATATTAATAATCAATTTAATAATCATGAACAAAGTTTTTAATTCAAAACTTTTTAAATACTATATATTTATTATGCCTAAACAAAAGAAGAAAAATAAAAGAACATGTACATTAAATGTTTTTTTTTAAATGCCAAAAATGTTATAAGAACATATGAAAAAAAATAATTGAAATATGTTAACAGTAATTTTCAATTTAAATATATACAAAATCATTAAGTAAATTATTACAAAAAAGTAGGATAGTTTCCGTCACCTGTTAATAATTAAAGATATAAACGAGTACAAGATTTTAATGTTATAGGTCCTTTACAAGTCGGGCATTTTTTAGTCGTTTGAATAAATGTCTCTAAACATTCTGTACAAAATAGATGTCCACAGCGTGTGGTAATGGGTTTTAGATTTGAAGATAATGATTCAAAACATATTGGACACATTAGAGGTACTGGCTTCCCATTATCTGATTCGACTGTATAATATGTTTTATTTTCATCATTAGTATCATCAACAGTTAAAACTTCATCCAATGTAGCACGAGATTTCTTCTTTTTTGGTTTCTTCCTAAAAAATATTTTTAATTACAAAATAAAGTCTGCTTGTACATACTAAAATTTCTCATTATAAAATAAAGTATATACAAACATTTCATTATTTGTATTTCCTAAAATTATAGGAGACAAAGGCCTTCTAAAGTGTTGATTTTCATTTATATTATAAGTTGTAGATTCATTATTAATTCTTCTCTGTGATCTTGATGGTCTGTTTGTTCTCGGTGATTCTTTAGTTAAATCAATAACATCAATGACATCAATCGCAGTAGATGAAATATCTATGATTGAATCATCCATGTTTTCCAAGTATAAATTTGAAATCTGAAATTATAATTACATAGATGTACTCGTAAATCTATTTTCTTTCTTAATTAATAATTATTGTACAAAAAGTTTAAATTTCATTACATAATATTATTATTATCATTCAGAAAAAGATTTGACAAAAAATGTTTTATATAAAATATAACCTTTCTTACATGATGAGAAAAAGTGTACAAACACGTGTGCAAGTTGGAACGCAAATATAATGATACAATTATATTTCTAGAATTCTCTTAAATCGTGATGATTTCACGAAGAGCATGTCAGTTGTTATTAGTAGATATCACATATGAAATACGCACCTGTTTTAAAAAAAAGTATTGTATTTCGGAATTTTCGATTGCCTCGTTTAAACAATGTTCTTCAAAAATATCGTCTTCCTTTTTACAATGGCTCCAGCCTCCAATGAAAGACTATTCAGTAATTTCCAATAACATCAAATACCTACATGTCTCTCACCATCAGTATCACTTTCTCATACATGCGCACATTTTCAAATCGCTTAAGGGTCAGCAGGAGAGACTATGGAGACCTCTATCAGATCTCAGAGATGAATTCCTTTTCGTCCATATTATGGCCAAAATACTGCGAGAAAAGCTATATAATTATGATATTTATAATCAGAATAATCAGAATTTGCCTGATGAAAGTTACAGAGCGATTTTTGTAAGAAAATGTGTGAAAATAAATAATTCATTTTATGCATAAATAGATTTGCACTATAGGACGATAAGATGCAAATATTTTCATCTATTGTAAATTTTTTTAAGAGCCAAATTGCAAAATTCCGCTGTGTAGCAAGAGTCATAATTTTATAAAAATACGTAGAAAAAAGCTCATAGCAGAATATTGCTTCTACGAGATGATATATGGGTGTACTCAAATATATATCTGCACTGTAAATAAAGAATAGATAGTTACATTTATTTTAATTATTTAAGAGCTAAATTGCAAAATTGGCTTCGCAGATACCTTTGTAATTGTAAAAGAAATTATCTTAACAAAGTTTCATGACGAAACATCGTTTCTATAAAACAAAATATAATTGAGTACAGATACATATCTGTAAATAAGGAATAGATAATCATTTTAGATCAAGAGAACAATGAAAAGGTACAGGTAACAGGAATTATGCCTTGTGTCCACGATGCTAGAAATCGGTTCGAAATGGAAAGGGAATTGCGTTTGAATAATTAACCAATGCGATTGATCAATTTTCTTTCCATTCGAGATCCAGACCGTTTCTAGCATCATGAATACAAGACCTTAAAAACATTTAAGCCTGGGACACAATGAAAAGGTATAGGCAACAGGAACAAGTAATAGGGAACAGGCAACAGATTTCAACCAATCAGAAATATCTCTGATATTCTTTACAGCTTCTGATTGATTGAAATCTGTTGCCTGTTTTCTTATGCCTTATGTCTGTGTCCACGATGTTAGAAATCGGTCCGAGACCTCGGATGGAAAGAGAATTGACCAATTTCGTTTGAATAATTCAACTAATTAACCAGGTTTAGTTTGGGAAAGCCCTTAAATGAAAAACAGAGATTCCATTGGATCTCGTTATCATCAATTATCACCCATTGTTTAGTGTGCAAGAGTCATGAACTAGCAGAATACAAGCTTATTCTCCATGCACTGAATGTGATTGGTTCTTTTTTTAAAAGATTTTTTTAAAAGATTATTTGTATATTTTATAACAAGATGAAAATTACAAAAATAAGGAAATTCATTAGAGTAACATTAGAGTAAATCTCCAACTTCATATGTCGGGAGTTAGTAAATTTCCTCACTTTCGTAATTTTCATCTCGTTTCAAAATGTACAATTGACACTGGACAAAATGAATAGCTGTCAGCTTTTCACACTTCTCCTCCTGCTATTCATTATTTATCGTAATTATCGTTATCCTGTATGCTCCCGTGTGAGGAAATTGATGCGTTATAACAGGGGAAGTCTTTCTGGCGGTATTACGTTGCGATTTTCATGCTATTTTTTTTTATTACGCGAAAACAAGAAGGATTTTGCTTTTTGGCAAGCGTGTTTTACCTGATGTTTACACTGTATCTCGTGAGCGCTGCATGCCACATCGCCTAACCTCCACAAGGCAGTGCGTGACAATTCAATTTTACTGCGTTCTTTATTCGCTTATAGATTTTCTTCGTTTTGTAAAGCGATAATAATGGCAGGATGTTATGACAAATTGTCTTGGACAGGTGAGACTTCTGATATCTGATGATTAATATAATACATTAGCATATCCTATTCCGAAATAATTTTCAAATATTAATATTAAGGTTAGACATACATATGTATATATTTTAAAAAGCAATGTAATATTGAAGAAACAGATTTTTTAAATAAAAATTTTGTCAGAGTATTTAGTTTCAACATCGAGAAAGTTATCAAATATTTAATAAATTATTGCCGAAAGATTGTTTGCATATTTGTATTTCATACTTTGATGAACCTTTAATTGTATATATTTTATTTGGTTTCAGTTTATTTTACCTTAAATATACAACAAATATACAAATATATAAATATTAAATTTATAATTTGCTAATATAATAAGGATAATTATTTTATAAATTTTTTAGAATTGATGGCATTATATTCAAATTTTTATGTGTTTATGATAAATAACTTGTTGTGATTTTTTTTTATATAGACGTACGCGACTTATTGAGAACTTGGAGAGAAGATTCTGAACGACGAAGTAAAGATGTAGTGGACTTTTGGGAAAATACATTAATGGGAAAGATTGACCGTCTAGGCAATGAAAGTAGAATTAATTAATATATACTTTCTTATTTTTAAAATTATAATCAATAAATAGAATTATTGTAACATAGTAAATCCTCTTGGTTAAAAATCATAAATATGTACTACTTAATTTTTTTTGTATTCAGAGTATCTGGTTTTGGAACAAGTATGTGTAGCTGCATTGGACTGTTATCGATTACCATTAGCTGAATATTGCATCAAAATTTTAATGCGTGCATTTCCTGGTAGTTTGCGTGTTCATAAATACCATGCCATGCATTTGGAAGCATTAGAAATGTAACTTTATAATATGTTATATTTCTTATTTGTTAATAAATAATAATACTTGTTCTGATGCTTCATTGATATATTTTCTAGGTATGATGAAGCAATGGAAGTTTTGGATTCAATCATAAAAAGAGACGAAACTAATGCCGCGCCAAGAAAACGTCGTGTTGCTATTTTGAAAGCTCGAGGACGTATTCCAGAAGCAATCAAAGAGCTTGCAGAGTATTTGAAAAGGTTGATAT